AGACAATAAAAAACAGCGTCAGCCGTTGAAATATGTATATATTTCTTATTATTCGACCTTTCACAAATCTGATGTCGTCCGACGAGCGTGAACGTTTAGATATATTATAAAAGAAGCAATAAAAGGGTGCCAAGGTCGAGCCAAAAATGTATTTGTAATATTACGGGTGCTCTTCGAGGTACGCTTACCTTTGTGACTTTTGATTATCTTTTCTTTGTTCTTCTCTACTGCAGCACTCAGAGTAATGGTTACCTACTTAAATAGCCGCTTAGTTTATATTCCCATATTAAGTTTACACTAGGAGATCCCTTAATTTTTATTTAATAAATCTGAGTCTGGCCGTTATGTCCCGAAAATGATAGAAATTTCGTATGCCTGTAGAAATAAATCAGTACCAGGATAAATAGCACACTTTTGTTTTTTTTTTTACATTGATATTATAACAAAGCTAGAAATAAGACGGAAGATCGGTCGTCGTAAAGTTTTTTTTTCTACCTTTAAACAATCACGTACTACTGTATATTTACGACTTAGTAAACTTGCGGTTAACTATAAACATTTAACGGACATTTTTAAATTGTTAAAGCTTACAACTTTAACGATACGACACTTTAAAGAAGTCATGAAGTGTTTGTATACAGAAAATAACATAGTTCCTAGTAAACGAGACACATAATACAGGCAATTATATAAATAAATTGTTTGTAAAATACTAATTAAAATTACGGCTGAGTTTATCAACGGGCTGGGTTCGCTATCGCTTCACGTCTCGGACTGAATTATTAATTAGTGTATTTTAATATATCTGGAATGTTTCAATATTTGGAAAAGTCAGTCGCGCGAAATTAAAAATAAATATACCTTATGTGTTCTTCCAGGCTATGTTCTACATCCATCCATCCATTCTGGAGATACCTTCGAACAATAACAACATCCATACATCCAATCTTTCGCATTTGTAATAATGTAAGATTGTGTGAAAATTAATTTTCAATTGTTTAGACATCGATTTTATAATGTTTAGTTAGTAGGTCATAACTCTGTAGGTCGAATAACCTATCATCGCAGTCTCTGTGTAATGTTTAATCGGTTGCGATATATACATCGCGTTTGCTAACAAGTGAGAAATGTCTCTGTTGTTTTACTGGGACAAAACAACGTTATAGCTATTGTTATGGTATTGATGAAATTAATAACGGCCTGGTTGTATTAGGGTTATGGAGAGTGTTTAGTTGTTCATGATTATTGATTAATAGAGGTATGTCCGCATTTCTGCACTTCCGAGCTTTTCGTATATTTCCATCGGTAATATTATATAAATTGATTTAAGGATGACACATATTATATCATAAGAAGTAATGTCGAAGCTGGAATCAAAACTAGAAGACTAACATTTTGTATTATTATATTATTTTATCTAACTTTTATCATTCATCCGTATTTAAATAATAAATTTTGTCCCCTTAAATCATTTTTTAATCCAAGAAGTTTACATCCATATCAATTGTAAAGAACCTATTCGCCGGCTGTTGTCCTTGAATAATCAATAAAAAAGCAATAGCTTATCGCGTTACGTTGCGTATTCTGCTCACGCGTGTACCGGTCAAGTTCACTTTGCGTAACTCGTGGACCCTGAGTCACGGGAATACGAGCTACTATTTGATGAATAAGAGTACACTCTTGTTTTACTGTGCTATCGTCATTGGATTCTCCTTTACATATCGGTTTAAAATTTAATGTATTAGTGATTTTTATTCAAATAATTAAGGATTTTTTTTAATATACACTTCGTAAATGAATCCAGGCGATCTCTTGTGTCGAAAGCCAAGACCCATTTTGGGTCGCTGCGTTAATGTAGTAAGTAATTTGAATCCAACCTCTTCGGGCCATCAGTGCACCCTGTGAACTAATTAATACTCCTGTATCTATTGATTTGTTACCTTAACTGATCGTTGAAAAAGGTTCCTCACGACGGTTACATTTATTTTATTATACGTTGACGTTAAAATCTATTGGTTGCCATTTACATATGAATGTTTTTGTTCGACCTTCATTTACTGGGAGTGTGATTTATCACACTCATTCATAATTTGTATAGTGCTAATTATACTCGAATGTCAGAGAATTTACAGTATATTGCATATATTAACATCAATATTTTATGTTTACAGGCCAATTTACCGCCTTCCTGAATACAAAATATTTCCTAGTTACAAAAACTTTAGTAATATTTTTCAGAAATCTGACATTGTTTTTTATTAAAACTGTAATTGATTTTAGAAGCATAATATAACGATTGATTTATCTTTTCATCTCGGTTTGCAAAACATTAAAGATAAGAAATAAATGTTTAAATATCTAATATCATAATCAAATGTTACAATGCGTTACAAGCTGCTAGTAATTGTGATATATGACCTTTGTAGTAGAGTACTCTTTGGCTTAGTGGTGCAGGCGGCCCTGCTCGGGGCGTTTGTGCAACGCGGTTGCGTTCACCGGCGCTATAACATTGCGACATCTGCGCACCAAGGAGCGCCGCGCCATCGCTCTGGATCAAGCAGCCATATGAACTTCCACTCTAATGAGTCATGCTGTATATTTTTTTAGGTAAACTAGTAATTATTTTACAAATAGTCCGAGAGACTACTGTAAGGACTGTCAGAGGAATAAGTCGAATGGGATAAGCTACGTCACAGTACAACACGCTTTTGTACTACATACAATAAAAAGCATATTCCATTTTCTATTGATTATTAGGTAACGAAATAATGAGACCTCGTAAAGAAATCGTACAGCACATATTTGTAATAAATTGTTAAAAAGTTACATAGTGAAATTATGAGACAATAGAGATGTACCAACTAATTTCATCGTGACGACGATACCAATCATATTTGTGTTTGTCACGCTCTACTTGTGTACATTTCAAAACATAAAGACATTATATGCCGAGTAAAAAAATTACATGAAACAAAGACATGTCGTATCTATGTTGGTTTGTAAGTTATCAATTCCCTGTCCTTATCACACACACGTGGGGTTGGCGTCAATGGTTTTATAATATAAAGCTTAAATGTTTTGGCTTAATTTTTTAACGCTGGCCGCCTGCCTGTCGCCAACCGCACTATAAATAAAAGGTTTATAAATTATAATGTTCTCGGAAATTTTCACTGCAGTATTTAGATTTAGACACTCATACAAAAATATACAAAGTGAGACCGGCAATAAGTCTAGAATCCACCCAAACTTCAGAGGTTATACGAATGAGAACTCTCACATAACTTATAAGTAGCCCAAACCTAATAGAATATAAAGAAAACAGCACTCAGAAAAAAAACTTATAATATACGAACAAAGAAGCTAAATAATATAAGTTTTAACATATTTATAACCCATATTCGGCTACTTTAACACTTAATATGCTTTTAAAATCGTGCCAAGTGACCTTGCTGTAAACGATTTCTTTGATGTTTAACATTTGTCTTAGAACATCGAAGAATCAATAGATTATGCCACGCCACTGTCTAATTCATACATATTTATGATAAATTCGTGGAGAATCGCACAAGAAACGTATATCAATCTTTTTAAATACAGAAATAAACAAATCTATTACTATTTTATTAGCTATTTGTGTCAATTTATTTGTATTTTATTACTTTATAACATTCTATTTTCGACAACTTATACGGATTCCATAATATTGACATTCTGATATTTGATATAACAATTTTATTCACAATTCAACACGGATTACAGTTTATATAATTTGTTTTTGTTTTTCTGCAAGTAGCCGCATAACAATGAACGCAACTTCTTTGCCTTTTAAAAAATATCAAAACAATAACTTTCCCATAACGAAACGTTACAATTGAATGTTGACTTAATATGTTTTATACACACCGTGACAAAAGAACAAGTACCTTATATTATATTAAGTTAACAACAGAAAAAAAGATATATTATTTATTTTTACTGACTAACAAGAGGGTAATGTTTTACGCGCGGACGTTATTTCTGGAAACAAAGGAAACATCTGTGCAAATATATTGTTGCATGATTTTTTTTACATAAAACGAGAACGATGACAATATGTTTTTGCATATGTAAATAGTATTTTATTGTAGAATGGGGTAAGGACAAGGTTAAGCATGAGTGTGGAGAATATATCAGTAGAGGTGCACCTGGGAAGAGATGGATGGATTGCGTGAGGTGAGGTGAAGGTGACACGATTGAAAAGGGAGTGACGAGTGAGATGATGGTACATAGATTCATTTGGAGTACGAAAACCTGGTGTGCCGTGTAAATGGGACAAGGACTGGGAGATGATGGTGAAATAGTATAGTATTTTTTTTTTTAATTATTCGGCAGTTGAGCCCTATGTCATGCCATTCCGAGATAAGCACATGTCTAACAGCTGCAAATAATGTTGAATGTGCTAATCGTGTTATTGTCACATTAGCAGGTATGTTTGCAAATCGCCCTACATTTTCTGTTACTCAGGGTTCAGCATTAAAAATATAATTGTTTGCATAGTAAATAATTGTTTTTAAACACATTAAATTATCTCCTAACTTTACTTTCCTTATTAAATAGATAAAGACAAAACATCTTTGGCGGAAATCTTTTTTATTGGGTTTGGAGGTTACGTGTCATTTTTTACTAATTATAAACTTAGTACCATGTTTGTTAGGTACCTACGTGTTAAAAAAAAGCATCTAATACTCCGTCACCTTAAATCATTACGTGGTATGTGGCGTTACATTGATATGTGTAATATATAAATTTTAAGTTTGTAATTAAAATATGTACGGAACCTTGTCGTCAGTAACACATTACACGTAATTTACGATTAAATGAACTTTGATTTAAATCATTTAAATTACTTAACAATTGCAATTATGCAATATAAATATGTAATTTAAGCAATTCATTACATTCAGTCATAGAGGTCGTGCGCGTTTGAATAATTTGGTAACAATTATCTTATTTAATTACAGGTACAAAAGGGAAAACAATCGTTTAAGAGTGAAGAGTGATGCTATATGACATATAACTTAATTTAAAAATAAATTCGTGTAATAATCTAACAAAATGTCGACCGAGAGAGAAGAAACACAAGAATACATCAACGGCATGAGACCCGGTCCATTGACTAGAGAAATACCAGAATGCATGAGGGACAAATATACAATTGTGCAGACAATTCTGGACGTTATAGCCTATTGGATATTATTATCAGGTTATATAATTACGGGGATATACAGGGCGATAGTAGGATACCCAAAGAAGGAACTTAAAGATAGTATAGCTGTGGTGACTGGTGGCGGAGGAGGTCTTGGCAGTTTGGTGGCTCTAAGACTGGCGAGGCTTGGCTGCACTGTCGTTTTATGGGATATCAACAAACAAGGTTAGTAGTGCTTATATTTATTGCATGTTTATTATGGTAATTGTCTCTTGTTATGCAGCGTCATGCACAATAATCGGGACAACTATATGTTATTAATAACATTTATTACTTATTTTATTAAATCTTTACAATCACTGATAGGTACTCGTAAATTAATAAATAAATGACTGATTTATTTATCCAATACTAGCTGTCGCCCGCGACTCCGTCCGCGTGGATATATAAGTAAAACATTTATAATATTAGTAGGTTAAATAAAAAGCAACTCTTCAAGGCATAAATTCGAAAAAAAAAATGAATAAATAGTATCCCGTCTCCTGGCTCTATGCCATCTCCTCACCAATTTTCAGCCATATCGGTAAAGCCGTTCTTGAGTTATAAATAGTGTAACTAACACGACTTTCTTTTGTATGTAGATACTCGTATGTAGATATTTGGCAACATGTTTTCTGGTTTGAACTAGAAAACATGTTCCCAAATGTTTAGTTCGTTACCTATGTAAATTAAAAGGCACAAAAAAGGCAATAACGTTATTTTTGTCGGAAATTATACAAAAACTTTGGAATCATAGACAATGAATAAAAATTGATCTCCGCAAAATTACGTGGATTCGTCTTTGAGCATAGTCATCAAAATTATATAACCTTCCATTCAAATCCTGTCATTGTCAAAAATAATGCTATGGTCAAAGTTTATCTTACCTCATTTTGTGTCATTTATATTTATGCAATAAAAAATCGCTTTATCATTTCAACAGAGGTTGGCGGAACCATTATGGAACAATGTTAAATATCTATTAATCAAGCTTAATGATAGCTTACTATACTTTTTTAGAGATTATTATACTGAATCAGAATGTATTTCGCGCAGACATCAATTATGACCTCATGTACCCTAAACAATTTCATCTCTTTTGATGAGCAAGATATTGGTCCTTGATTACGTTCGTATCCTTTTCCTGGAAAGTGTTGATGGAGCTAGGGTTTTTGTATATTTCATAAATTATTACTTGTCTATCCAAAGTTTAAATCTGTTTTTTAACATAACTATAATTAGTTCTGTTATTTCATTTTGCGATAATACGAACATAATGAGTTTTTCATCAACGTTGTCAAATTCAAGGTTTTTGGCGCAGGTAAAGCGAATTTCATGGCCGATTATGAAACTGGCAAAATAACTTCTCTTATTATAAACGAATGCTTGCTTGTATTAAAAAATACTGTTGTCTCTATTTTTTCAAAGAGAATGTATAAGATAGCGATACTGTTTTCATATAAATGTCTTGTTATTAGAAAGCTTCCCTTACTGCTTTGTGTTTAAAGTGCATGTTATTTTTTAGTCTTAGATTATGAACTAAGTTTATTACACATAGACTATTGTAAAAAGTGATATGACGGAAGTTACGATAGATTCTCTTCGCCGACCAAAGCAGCGTATGTGGTCGCTGTGGAAATAATTGCGCCACATAAGTAGATATGCCGCTTATATTGCTTTACCGTGTATGTTAAGACATAGTAAATAATGGTAATCGTTTCCTAACTAAGAGTTTAGATTGTACTCACACCACTGGTTTTATAAATGGTTAAAGTACCGTGGTGAATCTTACTAATATTATAACTGTGATAGTTTAGACTAATGGATGTTTGTTAGAAGGTATCTCCTGAATGGCTTATTTGTTTTTTTTTAAATTTGGCTCTGATAATGTTAAAAATCTAGAATAATACACTAACATACTTTTAGACATTTATTAATTAGAATTCTTTGGCGTGAATGATTTGCTTTCGTTACAAAGGCCAGTGTCAGAATGAATAGTGAGGGGACACAAACGTCGACAGTTTGGTAAGGCGTTGCGTCAATACACTGCCACATTTTCGAATTTTCTTCCTAACCAACCTTACCAAGTTTCTATTTGAATGACGGAGTCGCGGGCAAAAGCTATTTTGATATAGTTTTTTTTATAGAGGTGTATGTACTACGCATACTGTGCCAACCCTGCGTAGGGAAAAGAACAAGATAATTGATTGTGGGAATTTTTTTTACAATACAAAATCTATTGTTCATTTTTTTATTACTGTGTTAACTTCAACAACAAGGTTTTCATACAAAAACCTATGTTTATTCATATTTCTGTTATACATTTTATTAACATATTTACATTCATGTCAAGCGGCCACCTGAATTCGCTGAAATAGTGAATTTGCGTTGCCTAGCTATGAAATCAACGGTGGAGGATATGTATAATATATTTCCCTTTTCTAGGAGTCTATTTCCCCGTCAAATCCACTGCCACTTGTCGACCTTTATTTATATAAAACGGTAGGAACAGAAAGAGGACTAAAATTAAGCCTCTGGCACGCAAAATCATAAGGCGAAGCAAGGAATTGCTTCCACTTCACCCTGTTTTCTGCGTATTCGTGATATTTCATCGGTCGAGTCGGCATCATTCATGCAATAGATATTGTTATTTCTGGCCTCTAAAACTATTTTAACGATGATGTTTGCTAAGACATGTTAGTGTAAAAACCGTGTGAACCAAACGTTACGTTACATGTTTATATATGAGTGTAAGCTTTTTTTTTTATAAATGAGTTTCAAATGATATTTCATTGATATGGGTAGGGAATAAACTTCCTCGGCTTTACTTGATATACTAATTCTGTTGCATTAGCGTTAAACAGATTATCTTTAAGATGCACGTGGCATTTTAATAAAAATTAATGTATATTTAATTTATCTGCAAATGTTCAGTTTTGAATAATCAATATGCCATTACGCGAATACAAACGGGATTAAGGTTAATTGACATTAAACGATTTTAAATGTCACACATTAAAACTTTTAAAATCACTACAATAAAGTGATGACCTCTTGACTTCAATCGTAGAAAAATTAACTAATTCTTTAAAAAGTCTGTCTACAGGAAAACTAATATTTAATCTACTGGAATTTTGTATGCTACTGGCTTTTGCCTACCATTTCGTGCCCATAATTAAAAAAATAACTAAGGTTTAATCTCGTATATTTTATTACATGCTATGTTAATAGTTTCTTATGCTATGTTATAAAATAATATAACTATATCGCTACGTCAATTTTTAATTACATAACGTTTGAGCGACTTTATCGCCCTTTAATTAATGTAACGAGAATTTAAAATGGTGTAAAGCAAATTAGATAAAGCAAAGCAATTACAGCAATGTTTATCGTAGTCATTGTACGCATTCCGTACCTCGCAAAACTCTCACAACAATTGTGAAAGCCGACTAATTCATGGCAACACCAATATGACGATATAATTCTATTTTATTTTACATTTGGTTATACTTTAAGGACGTTAGGCTTTTTGTATAGAAACGTAGTCATGTGCATCATTTGATTACAACTATACAGCCTTACTTTGTACGTGGCTGTATAATCATAATCGAATGATACTGAGATCAATTCAGTTCTAGTTTAAATGTAACAAATTAATTCATGGTCAACAGTGTTTTATCAGCTCACTATACTTCCCCACCGAGGGGCTCGGAGCCTAACCTAAGTAAGGAATAAGATTAGGCCATAGTTAACCACGCTGGCCCAATGCGGGTTGGTGTATCAACAGTATTTGACCACAGATGTTGTGAACTCATTGTATCGTGTACAACAGTGGTTCCCAAACTTATTTTGTCTACAGCCCACTTTGAGAATAAATATTTTTTAACGCCCCCATATTTTCACATATTTAAAAACCACTATAATTTCAAATTAAATTAATTAATTATTGTGGCCTATATATGTATATTAACGGAGAATTCTAAACGAACTATAACCCGCAACTTGAGACCTGCAGCGCCCACAAGGGGGCGTTATCGCCCACTTTGGGAAAGACTGGTGTACAAGTTGTGATAATTCACGTATGATTTGATTCAATAATCTAGATATTTTCGTAACATGGCATTGTTCAGTGTTCTTGTTAACATATCCGTTGTGTAAACATTTTAATTGCAACCTTGTATTGTTGCGTATCTCTGTGCAACGCTGATGAACATTATATTACTTCGGTTGGATTACACTAAAAACGCTTGTTGAAATGAAATAGATGATTTTAGATGTTTTGTTTTTAATTTGAATAAAGTAATGTGCTGTTTTATGCAGAATATTTAATTATTTCACAATAATTATTAAGGATAAATCGCATACTTATTATTTTTAAGCTAACTAAATAAGGAAAACAACTTTGCTTAGTAGTATTATTGCTTTTAAACATTCATAAATACCAAATAATAATTGTCTAACATAACCTTTACCCTTTTTTTTCATTTTGAATATTTTTCAAACTTAAAAATGATGTGTAAAATTTTACGAAAAACAATTATTTTTAAAACTAATTGTTTAAAATTCATTATTGTAGATGTTTTTTGCCGATCGGCCCAATGCGGACTGTGAGGACCAAATGCCTAATAGTCAAGTAGCAATCTTACTTTTGGATCGATTAGGCTTGGTCAAAGCTATACTGCCCAATGTTGAAGACAAGATTAATGCTTTTAAGACAATTGAACTTCTTGTGAACTTGTTTGAACTTATGAATTTGTTTGAACTTGTGAACTCGTTTGAACTTTGAACTTCTTGTGAACACACACAATCCGGTGCTCTATGGAAATAAATAATAAAGCGAATAAGTAAGTAATCATTATATTCTTTAACGACGGTCCACAAATGAATAGCAGCTTTGACAATATATTGCAGTGTCATTTTTTTTCGTAAACTATTGCATTGTTTCAGCAACAAACTTCATGTTTTGCTTATCAACTTCAACGTGTATCAACAGCGACGTGTTTAATTTAAAACAATGTCTGTGTTTTGTCGTCAAACACGAAAAGGTTTCATGATCAACCGTGTTTTTACGAGTAGCGTATGCGTATCAAATTACAATAATATTTATAGTTATCTGTTATTGCAATAAGAAAATACATTAAAAAATACTTAATTAGTAGTCTATGTGTTCTGCCAGACAATGTTCTACATCTATGCCAAACTTCATCGAGATTTGTTAAGCCATTCTGGAGATAACTTTTAACAAATATCCATCTATCCATACACTTAAACATTTATATACACATTATAATATTACTAAGATTTAAGTAAACAAAACCATCAATAAATGTCATAACAATTTATAATTTTCATTACCCAAAAACAAAAGTATAGTTTTTATCTTAGTTTTTCTCAACATGCATCATAGGCATGACAATATATTTTGGCAGTGAATGAATCACATAGTTACAAGTCCTCGTAAACGTGAATATGGCACATGTAACTGATCACTACATTGTTCAGTTCATCAAAGCCTCTTCTATAGCAATCGCAATGTCCATCACACTTACATGATGGTATATCAATGTCTATCATTAATATCTTCCTATTTTCATACTTAAGTATTCAAAATAATACAGTAAAACAAGTTATTTGTCACTATGGTTACGGAGAAAACTTTAAGTGGACGTTTCTATTTTATGTTGATGTGTAAACATCTTAAAGTTCCTCTTATTTGTAGCCAGTGAAGTAAATATTGGGCTAAATTTCTCCATAAACAGAGACACTAACATATAATATTATCTGTTGGTAAAAATTAATAGTCGAATACGTCAATATAATTCTTGTTCTAAATTTTTACCTTAGATTACAACTGTGATACTTGTCTCTATTTTATCCAAAATATTAAAAAGAAAAATGAAAATATGTATGAATACAAACTTAAAAATAAATACGAAATAATTGTTTGTAGAAACTAATCGTACTACAACTATAGCAGACAATTGTTGCGTCAAGAACAATGATAAATGCGTTTATATAGCACATTGAACACAATAGCATAAACGATCCGTGAGATCAAAAACTATGTTATTATCGTGATGTATCTCTATCGAGATTGTCATTACATCAATTGCCCGTAATAACCTCATACTATGTTTTTATGACTACAATTACCTATAACTTGTAGAATATATCAGAATATTACTGCAATTATTCAATATTAAAATAAAAATCATAAAAATATAAAGGACTTGGATCAGAGAACAGGTTAGGCAATGCATATGCAACTATTGGCAACGGTCACTTCGCTATTTCAGCGATTTCAGGTGGCCGCTCTCTCATTTGCCACCTTATGATATAAAAAAGAGAACATTAGATGATAATGAATTTGCATTTATATATCTACTAAGCTCTCCCGCGACTACGTTCGAGCACATCTAAATGAAACTTATTAAATAATTTATGTGTTCTTCTAGACTATGTTCTACATATGTGCCAAATTTCATCAAGATCTGTTGAGCCGTTCCCAAAATACCTACTACAAACCTCCATCCATCTAAACTTTTGCATTTATTATATTAGTAAAATTCTTTCTACTATGTCACTACTTTCTCTTCTATCAAAACTTTTTAACCTACATTTAACCTACTACTATTTAACGTTTACGTGTGTGAGAATCGCAAAATAAATTAGGAAAACAGTTAGTAATAAATGAAATATTATCTGTTTATATTTGGACAGTTATACAAACGCCATTGCATGTGGACGAGACTTATTCAAACATGTATGTACTTAAAGCTTCACGCCTTAAATATACGAGTACCTTTGTAGAACAAATTGTATTCTAGAAAATTTGATGTACTCCAAGAATTGTACTCAAATTGCCAATTAGGTACACTACTCAAATCAATGGTCCTTGAAATCTTGAGACAACGAAAACAAGGACTTCAGAATGCAATCTTGTTCTACTTTTATTGAAGGTGCTGTGTTTCATAAGTTGATTAAGGTCTAAAGTCACGGTTGTTTCCATACCGACAAACGTACAAAGGTCGTCGGCTCTATTTAGTAGCGCTTTCCTCAATACTTAAGCCCCTATAATTTTCTATGTTTATAATCCCTATCAATGTGTGTATGCACAATGCCCGTGTCCAAGATACTGATCTCACTGCAAAAGGACGATCGGAATACCAATTAACTTTTCCCTAGAAACTCGAAATAAGTATATTAAAATACAAGAAAGACCAAGTTCCAATGATGTAGTCAAGGATTTAGATGCTGGTAATACAAATTTTCCCCACACATTCTATTACTCCTTGCGCAAATCATCATCTCTTATAACTTTTAAATTGTATTTTACATTGATTAAATTTAAACGTACCAATCATGTTTAGGCCGGTTTGGAGTGCCTCGGTAGTCCTACCTGGGTAACCTGGCATTGAACTGAGCAAACCTCAAAGTGCGGTCAAGGACCTTTGGATTCGAATGTTTAATTTGCTCGGTCTCTGTTGAGATTATGAGACAATTTTATTACATGCTATGTTTATGTCGACTTTAACTGGACATATTCCAAAACAATAATATTTTTAAAATTCTTATCGTATCAACTGATGTAGTACGGATTATTAAATAGTTAGATTAAGTTGTTAAAATAAATGAACTTTATGTTTTTTTTATTTCTTTGTAAAGTTGACTGTAATTAAATACTTGAAGCTGCACTAACCCTCGAAGTATTTCGACATAAACGAAGTCACTGTAAGCATTTAGTTGAACAGATTGTTTAAAAAACAACCACCAATATGACTATGGTAGAACTTAAGTCCTTACTAAGTGAATAAACAATCGACTGTAGTGTTGCCATGAAACTGAAACTACCAAACAATGGCAGTCAAGGTAAACTGGATACTGGTGTTTACGCAACAGAATATCGCGTTTGCACTGAATCAAGTGTAATCGGCCAAGTACTCGACTATTTAAAGTGTACAAAGAACTCACGTAATATCCAGTTAAAAAAAAGTTACTTATATTTTACTGTATATTTGAACAGACACTTAATATTTTATTCTTTGTTTTGTTAAAGAAAATGTAAGAGATGATCATTAATACAACTATCTCGGCAATTGTGTTCGATTAAGTAGGTCGATGTTATCGATTTGCATATTACGAAGCTTACGAATTTTTAATATAGTTTTTGGGATAAATAAAGGTAACAAAAATTTTTGTAAGACAGGTGGAAACTTAGGTATGAACGTGTCTGCTATCTTATTCCCCTACAAGAAGGTGTATCTCTAATCAATGTTATTAGATGTTACTTACCTCAGAGAGAACTGAATATTAAAAACAATATAATTGCACAATAACACATTACGTGTTGAAGTACATTTACGAGTATAATTACAGGCAGATTAATAGAGTAACGCAAATGGAGGTGTGGAATTTATTTTTTATAATCACTTGTTTATGAAATCGTATCTCATGATGTATAAAATCAATCGATTGTTATAAAGATATACATGAAATCTCTCGTGGGTGGGTCACAAAAACAAATATTGTTTTTAAATTAGTAATAATAAGAGCGTCGGTGGCTCAGGGTTTAAAGCACTTGACTAGTAATCTGCAGGTCCTGGATTCGAATCCCGCCATGTACCATTGTGATTTTCGATTTACACATGTACATTCATCCGACGTTCTTACGGTGAAGGAAAATATCATTTTTTTTCGATCTCAACACAATTTGCTTTTTTTCAAGAACTATTATATCCCTTTTAAATGCAATTGTACAACTAAAACAAAAGTATGTTTTGTTTTTAACGTATAATGTGTATAAATATTTAATATGTGGTTACCTGTATCCGACATAACTGTTCAGAATATTTTCGAAGTCGTTAAAACTTCGCACAGCCGCTATATCCGCGTCATCTTGCAGACATCATTCGTGTTTTTCGACGGACCGTTACTTTCTCGGCCAGTTTACTTGGTACTTTTTATAACTGAATAACTTTCTGAACTTAAGCATATCTCACAGTGGTCATTGCCAACAACCTTATTAAATCTTACGTAGTAGAGTCGGGCTACTTACGATAATATTATTTAACTTAGTACCAAAGATTAACAATCATTAAATATGTACTTTAGTCTATTGTGGCCTTAAAATGTATGTGGTAGAAATCAATATTATCATTATAAAGAAGAATCATTTGTATATTTGTAAGTAATGAACTAAATAACTAGATGCTCGACAGTTTTTCACCATTAGAACGCTACGTTAATCCTGAGGGGGGCCTGTCGCTTTTATTAAATTCCTAGTTGTCGCTCGCGACTCCGTCCGCGCGGAACAAAAAAACTTAATAAGTACGCCATGTATTCTTTCAGACTAAGTTCTACATCCATGCCGAATTTCAGCTAGATCTGTTCAGCCGTTCCGGAGATACCTTCAAACAAACATCCAAACATTCGCATTTATAATATTAGTATGAAGTACGATTAGTATGATAAAATGTAAAATAAAGGGTACCGTTTACGACATTTACATATAAAACATTATGGGTTTTATTTACAGGGTTGGAAGACACAGTCAAACTAGTCAAAGGCATCGGTGGAAAATGCCATGGTTACGTAGTGGATCTGGCCAGTCGTGAGGACATCTACAGAGTAGCCAAGACGGTCCACGAGGAAATCGGCAGAGTGAGTACATATAGTTAATAAAAATGCGTCTTAATGTAATTTTTTTTTTCATGTTTTATGTGTTTCCGTTACATATAACAAATAATCAACATTTATATATCTGTCTACAAGTCCTCGTTTGTTCCGGGTGTTCTCAGAAAGAGATCGTCCTATTTTGACGGGACTTTGACGGAAAGATAGAAGATGTAATCGCGAGCGACCGCGCCTAGTTAAAAAATGCAGAATATCTAAACACAACCAATTAATAAAATCCTCATAATATCTGTAGATTTTACTGGTTTTTTTTTTACATATAAGCTAGAGAAACGTCTAACGGTTATAGCTACGGACTACCGATCTTGCGGTCGTGGGATCGAATTTCGCAATCGGATTACTGTTGTGAACTATTTCCTAGTACAAGCTCCGACCTCCAACGAACAAAAAATATTGACGATTGACTTTTTTCAACATTATACCAATATTTTATTAAAAAAAACTAAAGGCCGAGTGATTCGTGCGATTTAAATATTGCTAAGTCATTATTTTTTTTCCTTTTAGTTTCGTCATTTTTGTCTTAATATTTAAAGTTTAAAATGCCCATTTACTTTTTTTCTTTGGGTATATATCTATAATAACGTTGCTAGAAAAAAAAACTTAAGTTTTTAAGAAGGCAACTAAATAAGTATCTATTGACTAATGACTTTACGTTTTAATATTTGAACCGGTTACAAGTGAACGTTTTTTGCTCAGACTTAAATGACGGGTTTAACCCGGGAAAGATACAAAAACTAGAGTCACACCATATGTTTTGCATTTTTTAAACTATTTAATTATTTTATTAAACTAGCTGTCATCCTCGGCTTTGTCTGCGTGAAATTAAAAAAAAAACTTAATTAATAGCCTACGTGTTCTTTCAGACCATGTGCTACATCTATACCAAATTTTAAGGACATACATGCTGTCGTTTTGGAGATACCTTCTAACAAACATTTATCCATGCATTCAAACAATCGCATTTATAATATTAGTATACCTTTTCTTTTTGACATTCTAGAAAAACTTTCTGATTTTGCAATTGAATTAGACGTTTTGAATTAGGTCGGTTTTCAAAGTTTTACTGCGACATACATACTTTGTATGTTTAATGAGGCTTTATTACTTGGAATGTTTAATTACCATGTACTAATTGAATATTAATAGCTATAATATAGAAAAAGCTTCTTAGTCTTAATCCATAGGTTTATGTTACTTTGTAGTCATTGTTACGTGTGCTCTTGCGCTAAAGGTTTTTTTATTGGAATACCTCTGAAGTAAAAACTAATCAATCAGTACCATACTGGCAGATTTAAGGAAGTATATAGTAATATGTATTAATATTAAACATTATCCTATATTTAGATATTGCAGGTGCCAGAATTAATCATGTTAATGTTTTTGCTCGACTAACAGTAGGACTAAAGCTCAAATTTATAGACAGTACTCAGACTTTTCTTAGACTTATCTTACGAGTTTGACATTTATAGACATACGCTTTAGCATTTGCAAAGTCACCAAAAACTTACGTGTTTCTCGACTACTATTTTATATATATTATTTATGAGGTGGTAAAAGAGCAGGCAGCGAGAAGCAAAGTCTAAGTACCGACTGTACATTACAGCCTAAGGGTCCCGTTGATATATCATATTTTATAACAAGTGGGAGTCATTGATTTCTGAATATATTTGAAATAAAATATCTCTTATAAATATATTTTTAATCGTGTTAATTTATATTTTGTTTCCATTTATCTGTACCAAAGAAAGGTATCTTTCTTATTTCTCTTGATTTCTTCTATTCAAGCACGTTATGCAATGTAATTTTCATTAAGAAGTAAAGTTTTTTCGAAGCATTTACGAAATTTGTTAATCAATTATAGTCGCCCAATATAAACGTACAGAGTAATTATGTTTCGAATACGTTTCACAAGACACAGATTCCAGTAAAATTAACTTGTCGTCCTTAAAAAATTTTGGTACTTAATTTTCCATTGTACTCATTATAATTGTTATTCAATACTGACGCGTTGTTAACGACTACAAATTGTTAAATAAACTGTAAACAAAATACGAGACGACCATATATTAATCAAGATTAGCATATAACGATATTAAATTCATTTCAGTATTTGGCTTTCCGTAGACTTTGTTTAAAATATCTTTTTTATCTGTTAGACAAAAGCAAAACAAAAAGCCACATGTACCGCGTTGTACCTTAACTTAGATTATTCCTAGTAACGTACAATTGTTCGTTATCACCAAACCCCAAAGGCGATTTCTTGGCAGTACCTAATAGGTATCATCAGTACAAGCCAATGTAATTTATATCTTTTTATCCAATTTGCATTTGCACGTTTTCTTTCCGTGTGTATAATAATGCGAAGCGGTAATAAAATCTTATTAGTCATGCATTATAAATAAACCTTGGGTTAAATAAATAAAAATCTTATTAAATTAATGCATCTTTTTGCCCAATGACAGAAGGGTTAATGTTTTTCGAGGAAATGTATGCATCAGTGCTCGTCCTAAATAAACAAGTAAATTCTTTTAGTATGGTATTTTTTTTTCTAGGTGAGTTTGCTGATTAATAACGCTGGCGTCGTGTCCGGCCAGTATTTACTTGACACTCCAGATCACCTCATCCAGAGGACGTTTGACGTCAACGTATTAGCTCATTTTTGGGTAAGTTTCATCAAATATTTTGCATTAGATATAACGTTCTCACATCAAATTACTGCCAATATGGCAAAAAAAGTATTATTTTATAACTAACAACATTTTTGGCATGGCATACGTAGACGAATATAAGTATTTTCTTACACTTTTTATAGCATATTAGTTGACGCCCACGACTCCGTCCGCGAGGAATTAAAAAAAAAATCAGTGGCCTATGTGTTCTTCCTATATGTATGTTCTATATGCATGCCAAATTTCATCGAGATCCGTTCAGCCGTTCTGGAGATATCTTCAAACAAACAGCCATCAATCCAGCCGTTCATCTAAATATATGCATTTAAATATTAGTAAGAAGTAAGATAATATGAACGTAACGGAATCTACCTATAATTAATATAGAACATTTGTAGGTAGGAATTTAAACGTAACTACCTAGGTCAAAGAGATGTCAGGTACAAAATGTCACTCATTATTATTATACAATATAGACATGTTACAAGAAAGAAAAGAAGTTTCTTACTTTCCAGTGTATTCATGACATTATTCCATTACTTTTTAGTGTATTTTGTTTGAAACTATTTTTTTGAAGTCGGCTTTTTTATTCTTAAAAAGTTTGTTTATTAAATGCTATACTCTCTATTTCCAGACCGTGAAAGCGTTCCTACCTCAAATGATTGAACATAACAATGGTCATATAGTTACCATAGCGTCGATGGCGGGCCATGTCGGCGTCGCGAAGCTCGTTGACTACTGCTCGTCTAAATCAGCAGCTTGCGGCTTCGATGAAGCCTTGAGATTGGAGTTAGAAGTTCGAGGAATCAAAGGAGTCCATACGTCACTAATCTGCCCCTATTTCATCCGTTCCACTGGAATGTTTGAGGAAGTTAATTCAAGGTAAGTTCAGATAATAAGTATAATATATTACCAGGGATTTTGATTTGGCACGTCAGAAACCTGAGGAAGCTAATGCACGACGCGCCAACTTAAAAGCCAACACTGTAGTTTGCATTTAGCTCATAAATTACCATTAAAATTATGGAATAAGAAAAACTTATATTTCTTTTGATACGCTATGAATATAAATTTGCAAATTATACTATAAAAATCCAAAGCAACAAAAACTTGCTTTGATTAATTGCGCGAGTTATTAGATCCACATAAGTAAATAAATTGTGGTTGAAGGTGATATTATTAAAACAGTTTATATATTTTTTATTATGTTATAATTAATAAATAAAACATATTATACTAATTAAATTCATTGTATTACCATTGTTATGTTACGTATAATTATAAGAATTCAACAATTTAATTTACAATTGTGGCCTTAATTAGGTCATTTGATTCATTCGATTTTTTTTAGTAGTTGTAGTTTTTTTTTTAATTTGTATAATCTGTGCAACTGTCAGGTTCGTGCCGCAGCTGAACTCCAACGAGGTAGCGGACCGGATCGTGTTTGCGATCCGCACCAACGAGCCCCTCGCCGTCATGCCGGGATATTTCCGATTGTTGCTGCCTTTCAAATGGTAACACACATAACACAATCAATTTTCCACTATTTTCCATGAACGTTAAATAGTTTACATATATTTCACACTAGCTGTCGTCTGCAACTCTGTCAGCGCGGAATTAAAAAACTTATTAGTCTATGTGTTCTTCCAGATTCTATTCTACATCAATGACAAATTTCAGCAAAATCTATGCAGCGATTCTGTAGATACCTTTAAACAAACATCCATCCATTCATCTAAACTTTCGCATTTATAATATTGTGATACATGGAATTTGACAAATGTAATATTGTTAAAGAACAAGTACCTGTTTCTGTTTTTTTTTTAATAAAATGGTGCGTTTTTGATATTTATTTAAAAGGCTTGCAATTAAAATACTCGTTTATGTAAAATTTGTTATTTTTTAATGAGATTATTTAAATTAAAATTTGCTAAAAATATCACTTATTATTTGAAATATCAAGCACATAAATACTTATTTTTTCCATGTTTTATTATAATATAATAGCTGTTATTATAAAGTATTATTAAGATGTTATTACAAAGATAAATTGCGACTAGATTGGATGTAAAATGCAACAAGGTCGATGGTTCATAAAAGTTTCCTTATTATGTTGCACTTGTAATTTGCCAGCTTCAAATGTTAACGTGACATTGTCGGTAATTAATGTTTAAACCTTCACCTAAAATATTATTATATTATACTATGTATCGGATTTACGAGGTTGTCTTAATTTTCGAACATAGGCGTTTATTTTTGTAACCAATAACTTAAAATTTTCTAAATGTAACATTTTGCGACTCTATTCTTTTTTTGAGGCTGGCAACATTTAAAAACGGTGCTTTATCTTGGTTCTCTCCAGATCTATCAAACCTTTTCAAATTTTAACAATCGATACGAAGTTCTCTTTGTGTATTCCAGGTTGGTTCCGTGGCCGTGTGTATCTGAGATCATCCGTGGTCTGGTGCCGGACGCGGCACCTGCCCCTATAGCCTCGCACCGGCCACAACTTACTGACGATTTGGTACCAACATCTCACAAAGGCAAGCTGGACTCGCGCCCGATGTCGCTAGTGCCGCCCGCGCGCCACGACCGCCATGTTTGATGTCACCGTGACGTCACAACATGGCGCCACGAGTGAGGAACTTTGTCAAAGTATGGCAACATTCTATCTTAATATATGTATGACATAATTAAAATGTGCCTATTCAAAAATTATTGTGATATATCAATAGAGATTATATTGCTCTTGACTTTTATAAGGAAATATTTTGTCAAATGTTTTACGTATTTTATTCTATTTTTTAATTTTCAAGGAACTATATTACTATGGAAGATATTTTATAAAATTATAATACGATATCAAGAAATTATTATAGTTTGAGAATATTTGACAAAGTTCCTTATTGAATTTCGGCAAAACTACTTAATTTGGTTATGGATAGAGAGTAATTAGTTAAATTACTGTGGGCAAATTATTTTTTTCCTGTTATCTTCATTGGGTTTTTGCAAGATGCAAAAAATGTCTACAATCCAATTTTAAAATTAAAAAAAATATAGCTGTCAGTGAAACAATATTAAAACTATAGTTATAAAAGTATTACTCTTTTATGTGAAATCTAATTCTCCAGAGAATTCTAAATAATGTTAAACCATTTTTTAGTTGTCTAAAAGAATGTGTATTATATAATTACAGTGTTAAAATTACATTTTTATTTTATAGTAACGATTGTAAAAACAATTAACAAATTTATGTTAATATTTTTTCAATCTATTTAAGAATGTAATTATATGAAAAGGTAAATATTAATTTTAGGTTACTTACTTAGTTTTATTAACTTGAGTTAAGTGACATATTAAGACACTGCGGTATTTTAGTTACAAATAAGGTGATGAATTTGGATCAGAAAACATATAGCTGTCTCTTTTATTCTCAATGAAAAGAAAAGAGATAACACATTTTTAGAAAGATTTTTCGAGAGTGGATACGATAAAATGTGATGTTTATAATTAAATAAGTTTTATATTAATTATGTCAGTAGTTCCATTATTTTCTTATTGAAAAAAAACTAAAAATGAAATGCTTTACTTTTTCGACCAACTGTTTCAAAAAACAAACAAAACCTTGGATTAAAAAAAATCGTACAATGGAAAAATTCAAATTAAGTCAATCAATGATGTGTTTTTTTAAAGTGCAAAGCATTCATAAAAGTTACCAAATCGTGACTTGGCATCAATATTACTATAAGTCAACTGGTCAACAAAATCATTGTAACCTCATAGCCCCAGGTAATCACCCAAATACAATCGAATGAGGTCAAATATCTAGGCGATATAACGGTAAAAAAGAAACTTTTGTTTCTATAATATTACTTTTAGCTAATACATTTTACTTATGTACTTTGGTGCAATACATATGTATAGTGTATCTTATCAATATGATAAACGTAACTTTAAGTTAACATGAGCAAAGTTAAATGTTAACTTGTAATAATTGTATCAGTATGTAACGGTTTTGTAAATGTTTTATAGCTTAATTACGAGCTGTGTATGAAATTTTATAAAGTGTTATTAAACTTGATTAATTTCTTTTATTCAATTAGTTACGCTTAATTAACATTAATTAACGAAAAAATTGAAGCTTAAATCATTGGTACTCAAAGGGAAGTAAAACTCTTATCAGAGTTTGTGTAAATTTTTAAAAGTAGCAGTGTTTAGGTCGCTGAATTTTGAGATAAAAAAAAAACAATTTAACAGATAATTTATATTTGTACGATCAACTTTGATGAGGTGTTTTAACGTTAAACTTAACTGTAGGAACTTAAACGGTAATATGTAAGTACAACTAAGTACATTCTTATCTATACAACTACTTTGTAAGTTAACAATCCTATGTTAGGAACGACTAGTAGAAAGTTATATTAAGTATAAAATATTTTATGAAGATTAAAAAAACAAAAAAGGTACATAAAGTATTCCTACCTTCATTAAAATTTAAACAAAAATTGCAAATTATAAAACAAAACATTTTCATAAAAATTCGTTGTTTTTCCTTAAATAAACAGTCTCTAAAACAATACACAGTTCATTCAAATTTGATAAAATACTGGCAACTTATACACCAATAAAATCATAGAGTTCATGAAACGTCACAATAACTGTCATTTTTAGCGCGCAAATTTAATCATGTTTGTCTCTTGGAAACGAATCGGGAAGTCGGAATTCTGATATCGGTGAAATATACAACGGATTTAGTTCTTGCATGTTCTTTCTGCTTTCTTGTGCTTCTTGTACGAATTTCGCATACGCTCTTCTGTCAGATACAATTTGGGCACTCTTTACGCCCATTATGACAACTATACCCGCGGCGATAACACAGGCCATTATAACTAAAGCACTGGTCATTATTCTGGCACTAGTAGGCTGGTAACACTCTTTTGATCTGATGACAATCTCCATAGCTATCATCGCTTGAGCACCGGCGTAATACGTATAAGTGTACTCGCATTCGAGGCCGTTTTCATCGAGTCGAAGAATACACGACGTTTCAGATTCGTCAGAACTCGCTGGAACACATTTAAAATATATTTAACACAACAAGGAACAGGACAAGGAATGTTATGTGTAAGTCAGTTAAAATGTAAAGATGATTGAAATCATTTACTTAGTTTAATTTCTTAGTTGAAAAATCAGCTCTTAAACGTGAAACATGACTTTGAAGAGTAATAATTTAATAAAATAACTTAATAAAAACAAAATACAACGGATAAATATTATAACCAATCATGTTCATATTTGGCGTTTAGAATTTTAGAAATTTCTTCGTCTCGTTGAATTTCTAAAATAAATCTGTTAAGTTTGTTACGTCCGTGTTAAATGATTGTCCATTCGCGTCTTACGAACTACGTCATAAAACAAAACTTTCTCCTATTCCGCTTGAGATACAATGTTTACGGCAGCACTAAATTATAAATAGTACTTTCAGTTACATGTTTATACCATTTCCTAAAATATACTTTTATATATTGCGAAAATTCATAACCTATAAATCCAATGCACTGAGTAACTATAAGGAAATGAAACTGTTCCATTGCACCACAGTTTTCTCCTTATTTTTCATATTCAATTCTATTTTCGTATTACTCATAGCTGTTTTTTACTTCAATTTCTGTCGAAGTTATTTTGTCTCTTTTTCATTCATAAATCAATAAATATCTAGATGGTTATATGGTTTACTGCTTATTTACGTCACTTATTCGAGGAGGAGTTTTGTTGAGGCTAATGCCGCGTTATAGTTTGTCAAGTGAATTTACGCTAAAAGTGAATGTACACCTATAATTATACCTCGTTCATTCATTCTCTCGCTGACGGTATAGTTCACGTTGGCGATGTGACAGACGTCGGTACAGCTGCTGTTGAGGTGGCAGAGCACGCAGGGCTCGGCGTTTGCGCACAGCGGATTCTCACAAGTCGCGCACGTCTCGCAGAACGCGCCCGTGTACTTACTGCCATCCTCCTCCGTCATCGAACACTGGCATTGACCTGAAAAAAATGCCAAAACGCGTGATTTACCAATCAAGTATCCAACCCAAGTTTAAAAAACGATTACGTAAAAGGCTTATAATCAACACTAACTTATTCATGTATTTAGATTGTAAGCCACCTGTGAAATATATTTCTCACCACAAACACAGTCGCCATGTCCAGAACACACGTTGTCAGAGCCGGGCGCGCGGCAGGTAGCAGTGTCTTCGGGACAGTCGCAAGCTGAGCCGCTCCAGCCTTCCGCGCAGACGCAATTCCCGCACGCACATACGCCGCGCCCCACACCGCCGCATTCCATGCCATTCTCACTGGAAACACAAACAAAATTAGCTTTGGTTCTCGTTTGTTTTATTTCCAGTCATCATACAGCTTCATCCTGAACCACTTTTGGAACCTGAAAAAAATGGTCTAAACCGACTTTAATAAAAAATTGTTCTACTAAAGTCTCAAAAATCGATAGTAATAATACTTACAGACTGATATCACAAGTCGGGCACTGACAGTAGCGACCGGAGTAGCCGCGGTCGCATACGCATTCGCCGCACACGCAATCACCGGCGCCCGAGCACGCTCGCGTTGCGTTCGCCGCGCGGCACTGCGCCTGTAGTCGCGCCGACGCGGACTCATCCGAAATCGAACAGTCGCAAGATGGACCTGACCTGTTGATTACGATAATGTAAGTTTTATTTATATATTAGCGTATTGTTTACTTTACGATGAAACGAGGTTTAGCAATTGGCGAAAATCTTTTCGGCTCCCTTACAAAGAATTTAAGACACTTTTGATGGCTTAATCAGCATTGAAAATCACCTTATTCTTTACGTCAGCCATCATCTTTCATAGATAATCATTTTCTAGTTATTTTAGAACAAGTGAGGACAACGCTCCAGTTTTCCTTAACCTATTTTGTCTTATCTTGAGACGCCTTTCGTTACTTTGATAAAGTATTCCATGCGTTACTAAATAAAATTATGAAAGTACCTAGTTACTATTACGCAAAATAAGATAGGATCTTATAAAGTTTTACGCACAATAAAATGCTATATTAGCGCGTGTATTTTTCTTACCATCCTTTGTTGCACTGACATACGCCGCAGACGATGTGCGAATTAAAGGGACACGTTAGCAAAATATCTTTTTGCAAATCGCCTTCGCATTCGCAACCACACTGGATATCCACGTCCAGAGTTAGTGAGTCCTGTCCCAACTGGCTTTCTGATATTTTTATTATTTGACTCATCTGAAATAATCGTGTTAAAAGTTAATAATTTTGATGAATTGTCACCGTTGCTTTTTTACTCATAAGAGACATACTTCTCGACTTTTTTTGGTTAAAGTATTAAAAATATTCTTAAGAACCTTAAAAATTCTCGACTAAACAGTTAATATCATTACGTTTATTATTTACAGAGATTATTTTGTTTTCACAATGAAACAAGTTTTCATTTAATAATAGCTTGCCAGTTACAATAACAATAGATTACAAACCTTTTTGTACTCAGGACAAGAATCCAAACTGACATGGGCCTCATAATTCAGGGTCATACCATATTCGACGCCGGTGCACCGCGTCGCCTCGACCATTGGACCTTTCACTCCGCAGTCGGTAAAATATTTGACCTTCACGGGGCCCAATTGGGAATCGTCTTCGAAATCGACTACACTGACGATATCTTCGTATCCAGTTTTCACCAGTTTCAAAATATTGGAACTGTCACTTTCCAGCCTCGCTACGTACGTGTAGTCTTCTAATAAGCGGTGTAAACTATCGTAATGGTACTTCACGCTCTCTGTTACAGCGAATATCACGTTAACCTATAACCAAAGATATTAATTTGAAGTAAGTCATTAATTTAAAAAAAGGAAATGAGTAAAAGAATCATAACAAGTATCTTCTGTAGGATAGTGCGATAATATTTATAGTTTAATATATTTTTACATCATGAAATGTAAATATGCAATCATACCGAATGCATTATAAAAAATATTCTACCAGAAATATGTTTGTGTGAATTACAAAATCGGAAAACAACAACCGGCGGTAGTGGAAATAACAATATCTTTGCTTATTGGAAAATCTCCAACACCGTTACAATTAGTATAAACGGACTGTAAACATAGTTCAGCAATAGTTTGTTTATATAAAATATTTACTGGTACACGTAAATGCGTTGTGATCTAGTTTCTATGCGCTTTGAGACAATATTGACATATTTACCTTGTACTTATCTAATAGTCGGAATACTTGCGCTATAGACGGGTAGTCGTAACTACCCGCTTCGGAGTAATATCCATCCTCGTTAATATGACAGCTCTCGTCGTTCCTCAAAGTAGCACCACCTATAAACGACTTTACTAAGAAACTAACATTTACAGCAAACAGTGAGTCACCGCAAATACAAAGTAAGAAGTTGCAATGTTTGCAAATCAGACTATAACTATATGATTTAATATTGTCAATTTTAGCCGCGATAATGGCAACTCTTATATACGATTATTTACTTATCTTTTATTTCTAATAAAT